GCTAGATTCCGATTATACATATTCTTAAGCGGTTTATGTTTCACCATCCACATTTTCTTCCGCCTATATAATTGCCCCCTTCGAAAATCGAAAATTTCGGCCTTTTGTCATTTACTAAAGCTGGCCGACTCGCGACATCCTGAAGCTGATGACTCTTATCCTTTAGGGTGGATATCTGTAGTAACGGAAAGCATCGTAGCAACAAGAAAATAACGATAGCTAGAACGATTACAACTGAAAATAAAAAAATTTGAGATGAAAATATTAGCCTCAAAACCTTAAGTATGTAGCAGTCGGTGCTAACCCGAGCGTTATCACGGTGAGCTTCATTAAATAACAGATCGAAAATAAATCGAGCCCACTACCTATCAAATTAGTGTAGAACGAAGAAACGTTGATGAAGACAGAAAAGGGGGCATGCCAACGAATGGGCAGTGTGAAGGTAATGCGTTCACGTATATCACTTATACAAGTAGAGCATATAAATGTGTGGGTATATAAACGAAGTAATATAAGTTGACTGCATATAAACGAATATAACAGCCATTGGGCCAAAGGGCGGGATATAAGCGTATTGGGAAAATTAATAGGCATATGGGTGGGACAGAAGCAGTAATATCAGGACGTATTGTTGATATGAAAGAAAAATAGATATGAGGATTGGTATAGGGACGCAGTAAACTGTAAGTAAGGGATGACAAGTATATAGCCTGAGATGACAAGGTAATCGTGCTGATAATGGCAAGGCCTAAAGTATTCCTAAAATTCGAGTGTATAAGTATGGCTGAAGCGGATAGGAGACACTGGACAGACACGGCAGTGATGGTAGCGGCGAGTGAAAAAAACACAAGATCTAAGCAGCAGCAATGGCAATACAAACGCAGAATAATGACAGCTGTGATTTTCCTAAAGCTAAAAGTGATGTTGGATAGGTATTGTGTTGATAGAGCAAATGAATAAAGGCAAAATGAATGAATGATATATAAATAGCAGGTTTGGTCGTGCTTCGCTAACGGTATTGCCAATCAAAGCTGGTATTGAGCTTCTATTTATCGGAACTTGATTTGCGGGAAATTCTGTTTGCAGTCTGTATGAAAGCCGTGGAGCAAACGGTATTCCTGCACATTGCCAGATCGAGTTTTGAGCTAACTTATGTGATACTAAGTTTTTGGCCGCGCCAATCGGGGGCCAAACGGCCCTTGCATGATGAATGCACTGGGATCATTGTAGTGATGTGTCTGATATTCGGCTGCTGCCAGCGTGAGTCATACGAGAACGAAGCAACACTCTGAGCGGCCAGGAGGAGAGCTGCCATTGTCACTGCGGCAGTAGGCAACATCCCACCAGTAAAGTGAATATTCCGCGATTAAAAACTAGGACAAAGGCGCGCGTGGGCATGCCTGTCGAGTTGAATAGAATCACGAAAACGAATAACTCGAATCTTCACGAAGTGCATGATCGAATGCTCTTACGCAACTGAATCAGTGGTCTCTTCACCCCACTAAACGAAAGTTGCAGTGTATTGGTGATCAGTGTGTGCTTTGCCCCGATTTGTGTGTACAAGCACACTTCTTGGAGGCAGCACAGTCCGTGAGAACACCGCCCAAAATGGTTAGTACATGTCGAAATGAGAAAGCTATTAAACATTATAGGTGATGGACGAGAGAAATATAGATTGCGGAAGGGAAGTACAATAAAGGCTCGATCATAGAGGAGCACAAGGAAAAGGCATATAGTTGCTTATCCACGGCGAAGTTCAACCTAAAGCATACGATTGATCTGTGTCAGTGTGTTCGAAGGCAAAACGTAGCGCCATCTTTATCAATTTTGGTGCATGCAATCACCTGTCCGGTCGTAAGTGACAAGTAAAAAGGGGAGCAAATTGAGATGGGATGTCCTGCAGAGCGAGCTGACGGATATACATCCCTGTTAAGAACTGCAGAGGTCGAAAGACTGATTGACAAGGAAGTAATTTCAGGACAGTCGCAGTGAAAACAAACAAATAAATAGCAAAAAAGATCAATTACATTGAGAACATTAATTTTCATCGGTCGGTTCGATCGAACGCATGAGTTCACCATATATAATTTCTTTGCCCGCTATATTAGCGAAGAATGACTGATGAGATAATTTATGTAGGTGCTTGGAGACATCTGAGCTGATCTATAAATTATCTTCTTATTCTTGTAAATTCACTGCCGTATTAAGCTCTGCCTAACAGGACGTAAATTCCGAGACATTTATGTCATTAGACATGGGGAAATAATGTTCAAATAACATATTGCGAACTTTACAATAGTCAGCCTGAAGTACGCATTCGGTTTTTAGGATAGATTTTACTTAACGGACAAACGAGGTTGCATGTTAATGATGCTAGATAAAGTCCAAGATTGGACCTGAAAATAAGAAATTCTGAAATATGGGTGAAAGTTGATAGGTTGCCGATAAACGTGTTTAGAGGAATAGTGATCGTAGGGGTAAATGGGCCAACTGAGCTTCGAATTACATGGAACTGATGCGAACAGCAGGTACAGTACCTGATCATAATAGCAATAATCGTATCAACAATTGCAGGCCTCATTACGGACCAGTTTATTGGAGAGGACGAGTCCTGCGTTGTGATTACCACGCATTGCTATTCGGCATAGCTTATTCAAGCCGACTAGACAGCCAAGTTCCGTAATAGTATCAAATTATAAAAATCATTATTGAGATAGCCGATAAGTACGTTAAGACCTTAAAGGTGATATAAAGTAAAAGCCAAGGGGACACAGTCCAATGTGGAAAATTTGAAAATTAATGACATTATGGTACACAGCATGGTTAGAATCTGTAAGGAAGATGAAAGTAACAAGTATTCGTCAATTGGGGGTGCCTTAATTATGAAGACATATGGTCGAATATGTCGGTCCCAACAGACAACGTCAAACGTTTCGTTGACGTAATGGGGACAAATAATATGTTGGTAAATCAACAATAGTCGTTATTGGTTGTTGCTGTCGTCCAATGGCATCGTGCCGCCTGATGTTTCATTACTCAATGGGAGTGTTGATATCGTTCAAATCAGACAACGACTGTACTTGCAGTTGTTGGGATTTCCTAGATGATTTCACGAAAACGTTGAGAGCATTTGCGTTAAATAACAGATCAGTGCGTAGAATCGATCAAGATAACAAACTATAAACTATGAAAAAAAAAAACTATACTTTAGAATGTTTGTAGATGATTTCAAAAGGGGCCGTTGACATACTTCGGAGCATAGTCAGCAAAAGCCGCTTTGAAAAAGCTTTCTCGGCGGATAAAAGCGTGAAGCACTAAAATAATAATAATAATAATAATAATAATAATGAAAACGAGATCGGAGCTGAAGTGGCGGAGACGGGATATCGGAATGGCTACCCGATAACGTCAAATGTTTTTTTGTATAGCACGAAGTACTCTGCTTTGGTCGGATGGCCTCATGTATGAATGAAGGTATCATATGTAGGGACAGTGAGATTTGCCGCATTTTCTTGGACTAGAAAATCAATTCATTGACATTTGTTAATAATTCTCAAAAACTTCACAAATACAAAGGCAACAATACAATACACAGATATCAGAGAGAACATATAGAACCATTTATAACATTGTGTGTTACAAAAGCAATTTGGTAACTTCTTAGAACATCAACCTTTAGGTTTCAATTTGTGAACCTAGATACCTAATGATATTAGCAGTTGTAAGTAATTAAAAATGATCGTCACAGTGTACATTACATGATAGCGTAAGCACAAAAGCAAGCATACAAGCGTTCTTGAAAATGGACCGTATGGCTGCTTGTGTTCAAATACTTCTGTCATTTCGGCTTACCGCTAGCAGAAGAACAATAGAATTGGCTAGGTGTATAATGCACCAATTGAGATCGATGTGTCTAAATATAAAATACATATAATGAATCCGTTTTAGTATATATGTTACGCACCGTCTGAACTTGGCAGACATATTTTAATGGAGCATCAAAATATAAATCGAAAATTGAGAGAAAATCAATCGACCAGCGAAGATCTTGTCGGCATCCTTGGAAACGAGGAGTTATATATAACGACTTTTTTTAAACGTTCTAAAATTGTCATTTATTTGCATCAAAAGACCGCTCTTGCGTTGTAACCTGTGAAAGAAATAAGTGGCATTACTCGATTAGACAGTCGATATACTCTACGGCGAAAAAATATTACTTTTTTCACTAATTCGTTTTCTATTTATTTTTACGAAGCTTTTATTTTCTTTATCTTACTGCATATATAATGCATAATGGTTCTTGACAGAAGCTTTTTTTAAAAAACGAAATATTTCAGTCTGCGATAGAATTAGTTGGCCAGAAAGGATTTCAAGGGCCGCTTAAAAGCTATTTCTGGTTCAATGATTGGCTTACATTTGAGGAAGAAGCATTTCTAAAGAAAAGATTTGTCAGACTCATCGATGTTGATATAGAAGTCCTGAAGATGGACGTTTTCATTGATTAATAATATCTCACGCTTGTAGAGGTGATAGTTTAAAATTGTACTGTTGAACAATTATGTTTTATGCTGCAACTGTAAGATAGGTCTTTTCTAAACAAATACAGATAGATACCTCTAAACATATCGCTGGTTGATAGATGTTTATATTTAATTTTGTCGTTGCTGAAACAATTGGGATTACTCAAATCAGTGAGGCTTTTTTTCCGACGTTTTTCGCCCGACGGGTGGGCAGTTTTACGCCACCCTTACTGACTCTCAATTACAATAATCGGTTATAGATCTACGAGCTTCTCCGCATTAAATGTAGTTGTTGTTATTAATAATTAAATGTAGCGTAATTGTTGCACAGGCCTTAATTAACGGGACCTTATAACTAGAAAGGTATTGGCCATAAAAGCTAAAAAGTGCCGGAATTCTAACCAGCGATTGCCCGCGAATCCCAAAAAAATCACACAATATCCTCAAGTTCAACATGTCGTTCTCGTTTATTTGGTTTTGGTTAGTACCATTTAGTCTATTTAGAACTAGTACACACAGCGTCACGGTGTTGTTGTTATTATGCATAGCGTATATCAGAACGTCGAACATTACATTTGTTTTTGCACCCTATAGCGTTGCACTGATCTAAGTTATAGATACTACATAACTATGCAGCATGTTTGCTATTGAAGGCACTACAAACATTTATAGACAAACACAGCTCAATACGGGTGTAAATATCTACATACATGTAGGCGCTTCTAAAGGTAGGCGTTATAATGTACCAGCGCATTTAGGTAAGTTTACCCCTTTTGTGACTTCATCTGTGATGCCTCTATTTGATCGAACCGTCCCACGGACCACTGCACAACCGACTGAACCTTCACATTGGAATTAGTCTATCTTCCACAGCGTTCTTTGCAATGACTAATATTTGGATAGAATTAAGATCATTCGCGTCGAGAGAACTATATACAATCTTCACAGATTTAGCATAATAAAACCCGTGATAGGATCGTGCAGATCAGCAGGAGACCTCGACGATTCGCGTTTATTTATACTGTGTTTTTAGTATGGCCGTCGTCGAAATGATCTTTGAAGACCAGTGATGTTTTCTGTAAAGGCATACGTCCATTGCTGAGGCGGTGGCCGTGAAAATAAGGAGTAGAATATATGGGGTAGTAGGTAAGTTGCTGTTTTTCTTTTGCTCGTACCCTTCGAGCACGTTTTGAATTTACAAGTGAAAAAACCGAATCCGGGGCAAACATTTGTTGTTGCACACCCTAGACAAAATGTCCGGACAAACTTTTTTCTGGCTTGCTTTACATTTTAGAATTTTCGTTTAGAATCGTCACGGGCCTTTCCGCCACACTGTTGGATAACCGTAAGGCTCATATTGATATCCTTTTCCAATTGGCAAAGAAATGTTAATCTCTCTATTGATACATCGCCCATTTGTTGAATATACGTAGGTCCGATCATGTTAACAGCGTTCTGTCATTAGATGATCAGTTACTTCTGAGATGCAATGACGAGCTCGTATCCAGTTATCCTGTTGAGAACTCCATTGTAAAAGTATCGCAAAACGATTTCGCAAAAGGATACAGTTACAAGAACTTAGCTATAAAAACCGAACTCACTCCTACATGCATACGTTTCATTTCCGGCTAACTTGCGCAGGCTTATTGGCTTTGTACTAAAGCAAACGATGCTATAGTGGGTTGTAGTTTCATTTACGGCAAACTTATCCACCTATCTAAAAATAACATACTTTATATACGAAAACGTAATAGTTAGCAATAGCTTATGATTTGTGTATGGTGTTTGACGAAGAAAATTGAGCGCGATGTATAACAGTGAAATAATTCTAAGGTCTCTTTCGATGCTTACCGCTAAACTGAATATTGGCTGCTAGCTAATGTACCATCTAAACACTACTTGGTACTATTTCGAAAAGTACGCAAGAAAGAAAAGTGCTGCCCCATCGAACCTCCTTTAACTGATCTCAACGGGGCAGCTCAACTGAACATTTTTGAAACTATCTAAATAAAACACTTGACCCTTTAGACGCAAATTTACCTTGTTGTTCAGAGGCGTCGCGTATATACTTAGTTTTTTTTTCGTATTTTTACTATACGTTTCAGGCCACGAGTCCTAACGCTAACGATATTGTTCATGACTCGTGCAGATATCGACTAGCAAGACATGCTACACGCAGATCAGAAGCTATTGTTCTTTATTTCCTGTAGGCATTCGATGGGTAACTTAGGGACATTTGCGAAGTGTCAAAATCTCTAAAGTGGGTGACTTTAGTGGGCGTAAAGATGGAGTCCACTGAAAAAAATCGATCATGGTGAGAACCGGGTGCGCGTTTCGGTTTGTTGCTGTTATTGGAACCGTTTATCATTGCCATGGCTCTCTGTTGGCCACGAACTAGTCAATGATGCCCAACGCAGTTCTGCCAATATTCGCAGCTGGAAAGCGGTAAGACGTCCCTCCACCGTAGGTAAACCCACTTTCTAGCATAGTTCACTGAAGACAGCAGACGGCGCTCGACTTACTGACATCAAAACTGATTCTCCGTCGAAGTGTTGAACGCTTCAGTGCTGAAAACATATATAGGGATACAATTAGAAAAACACAAAAAATACCGCACTTCGAAACGCTATACGAATGAAGCTGGACACTGTTGAGCGATGCTTCAACGAATCGTTGACGCGTAGCTGCTATTGAAAAATTTTTTTCACAGATTACAAAAAACTGCGCTCAACCACTCCGTCAATCAGTGTTAGTAAATGAAATTTTTTAAAATACTTCTTTTTGTTTATGTACAGTTTTAAAAGCACGACAAAAATAATATGCCCAATTTTATTTTTGCATACGTAGCAAAGTCACTTTTCTGTGGCCTAATAGAGATTTGGTCATAATTCCATATGGTCCAGTCGATGATGTAGCACGGATAAGGGCTGAACGTGTATTTAGTCCGGAATTGCCAAAATAAATTTTAGCGTCCTACATGAGGGGTTGTCTATTGGAACTAGAATAGCTAACGGGAGGGAGTTTAGCAAACGAGTGCTTAAACTTCCGTGGCGCAGCTGTGGAAAATTTCTGCTGGACAAAAATGGGTTGCATAGTTAGCAAGTGAGTATAATTAAAGGTACTCGGGGGTAGCCTTTGTCTGCTTATGGCTGTCTCGGTTGAATGAAGCCGAGTAGGTCGAAAATGGCGTAAGTTGTGCTGATCTCGCAGGCGCGAGTGTTGTTGGTTGCCATATTGAAAGTTTCCGTCGGATCGACACCCCCAAGATAAGAGAGATATTACGCCATGCTAGTTTGATGTCTTTTCTATACACCATTATCCAAGACGTCAGAACAGACACTTTAATGTGTAAACATTTAGCTAAACTTAGGCGAAAAATATTCTAACGACCATGATAGTATAACAGCAAAAAGAATATAGAAAAATATAATTGGAAGAATCCATAGTAGGTGGAAAGGGTAGCATTGTTGTTCTATCATGGAACTGCCGGTGCCCATTGATCTGGTTACCTACAAACGCTCGGCGATGTCGAAGACCAAATGCATTGCTTGTAGTCCAGTGCCTATTGTCGCGAGCTAGAGTACGAGTTTATTAATTAATCGCTAAAAACGCCTCTACTTTGGACGCTTAGTATGAATAGAATAAATAGCGTATGGTTTCTGAACAGATGAGCGTTGCGGAACCATGTACCTTCAACGAATACTTCTCGCCGAAAGGCCCCTGCGGCGAGCTTGCTCGAGTCATTAGAGGCTCTCAATCCGACCTCGAATATAGCTACAACCGGTTTGTGGTCCGATGATGAAAAACATTCAACGCAATCGTACAGACGTACTGTTAGAGCTTGGCCCTCGCGGTTCATATATAGAATCCGGTCCTGTAAAAAGTAAGCGACATTGGAAGTCGGGACAATAAAATCCAATAGATGCTTAAGGAGCAAATTCGACACTTAAATAATGCTCAGACTCGGCTCTCCTAAAATGAACTAGCCAATAACTAAGGGGTGCCTTATATGATTATCACTGAGTAATAATATTTTACAAATGTTTAACTCTAAATTTTTGTAAAGTCTACTGTCGTGCTTCTTCTTAGCTATAAGAATCATTTTGATATCAGAGAAAAAAAAAAAGCGTTCAAATTACAAACAAAAATAGTGAAAATACTAGGTATCGAACGAGGCCTGCTATGACTAAGGTTTCGATGCGGCCTATTTTTACAAAAGATATTGACAAACGCGAACACTTTCAATATGGCACGGCCTAATCTGCGCGTAAGTTCTTGGACGTACCGTATATGAAGGCACTCTAACGGTGTTCCTGTCGTACATATTAGAGTTGATCTCATATTTGAATGTGGGCGCAAAGCTAATCTCTCCTTCATGAAATCCACTGAAGGCATCTCCGTCGGCAATCACCTTATTGAGTTGATCGAATCTGAGCAATGATTTAAAGTCTCGCTCTGCCAGAAATCTGCAAAATATTTACCATAGCATTACTGTTCGAAGTGAGTATTGTCTAGTTCAAGCTATGCATGGAAGATCTCTAAACGCTTCTAGGAAAGGCGTGATTACCTATTGACGTTACGCTATTATCGGAACGCTGTCGTGCTCGAACATATGCAAAGTTAAATCTGAGAAGGACGGGTACTTCTAGTTTAGTTAACGGTATTCGGTACGCTTATTCTACTACTTCGACATAGCATCACCTTCGTTCCCACCGTCAACTCATTAGACACCCAACGTCCAACAGGCAGTTGCCAATGAACATACATCGTAAGATCGTCTGATCACTGGTAGACAAGAGTGAACCCGTAGGGGACTAAATGACTCTTCTATACTGTATATATTTTACGTTTTAGATTACTTTAGAATCCAGATTGGTTGTGCTCCCCGAAATAATTTGCACATGTCGCAGTCAAAATATATTTCTTGTTTAGTAAATGTATTTGCTTCAACTTATTTGTAAAGAGGGCTTTACTCGAAACACAGTTACGACCCATCTACATAAGTTAAGGAGACAACAGATTTGATCCATTGAGTCGACTGTCTTTTGTTGTAGGTAAGATCTCCTGCTTCCTAAACACTACCCGCTCGACAACATTGAGCATTTTGGATGGAGTAGGCGAAAGTGCCAGCGACCTGAGGCGAGCTCTCCAGTTCTACTTGCACTTGGAATTTTCTTAGTAAAGTAAATTATTACCCTATTAGCTTACAGCGATTAGCGAGCATAGCAAATAGTCTACCTTACGTGTCTACAATATCGATCGCCATCTTTAAATGAATGAAGTTAGCATCGATACGAAACATGTCTAGTACGGAAGAAGCTTCGTTGACAACTGGGGACGGATGTCAGCTATTATGTATTTTGCAACGTGTTCGATTTCTTTTTCTTTCTTTGTATGAAATGTGTTCTTTAATCGCTTGCCTTAGAACAGTTTCAGAACTGGTGTCGAGTCGAAAGTTAAGGTCCCCAAACCAAAAGATAGCGTCGTATCTAGATGGGGCAACGGGTGCCACCTTGGATGGTGGCACCGCCTGGCGGAAGAGGGCCCGAATGATCTTCTCGTAATCGGCAATTCGATTATGTTGTTTGTTCTCGTGCGCTGTCCAAAAGCAATCACCAAAACACAGATAAACAATAGAATATTCAGTATACTTCATTTGTCGTGTGGCAAATATAATTGTAGGGACTTGACGGCGCATTCAGTATGTTATACATATTACGCTATCGACGTTACGGCACACGATGGAATAATCCGCTAGACATTAAAAGAGAAAAAATTTAAATTGAAAAAAATAGTTAGCGGCCTTATTATAACTGTGGTGTGTAGCTGCTTCGTCTTTGGCCGACCTGGTTACATTTCGTCTGCAGCGTTTCACTAACGAGACATCATCTTTGCTTGCCTTCAAGCTGAGCAATAACATTTAAATCCAGTGGCAGTTCATTGTTAGCTACCAAAGGAGAGCAATACCTAGAATGGCAGATGCGCAAGTTTCTATTGATTCTGCTAACGTAAAACGACGAGAGGCTTCTTCGAGTCAGAAGGGCACGATCAGAGTAGGCAAAATTGCAGTGGTGCCCACGCATGCTCGGCACAGTTACTGCCGCAACCCGCTATTTTAGCTTTCAACAATTAGCATTAATGGCTTCCACTCGCGAAGGGGTGTCATTTTAATTAGGGATATGTACCCGTTCTTATTACTACTGCCTATATAAAAGATGTTCGTGTGTTACCAATCGGATCTAAGCGCTCGAGCCCGCAACAATTTATTTTAATCAACAAATGATGATGGGACAACATGAAATGAAGCTAGTCACGAAGGGACAGAATTTTACAATGGCGCATTAGAAAAGCTGATGAAATCGCAAATCCAATGTGAGGATCGACCTTACTCACTTTTTCATGGCATTGTTTTTCCCTTTTATATATATATATATATATAGTTATTATTTTATGGTATTAGTGGAGCTCAACTCTACGTATATCAAGTCGTCATACTAATAAGAGCTACGTGAACTTTTGCTTAATATGAATTATAGTTGAACATGTCTAACGAGTGCGTTTAGATCAAAGGAACGCCTCTATTCATTAGTACTGCTGTAGTACCTGCTGGACGATTTCCAAACGAAGAGAAGCGACTCCGAAACGTTTAGAACGACAAACCCCTAAACAATTATAATGGAATATTTTTAAAGTTTTCAAGATTCGGATTGATACAGCCAATCGATGTCAGGCTTATGTGACTTCAGCTGTACACAAATAGGACAGAGAAAAGATTCTGATGTCAGATTTTAGAATGTTTATTTCGCGTAACTTTAACGCGAGCGATTAAGTTAGAAACAGCCGTAAACGAAAAATAACACTTTACCATTAAATCAAAGAATTACAAGGTTGTTTCTGTGTACAGTTGTTCTTAGTGACAGCCGCTAGCCAGTCGAAATTTATCTATATTCATCGGTTTTATATAGCTGGTTAATCACAAAAACCAGAAGCACAATTCAATACGATGGTCTTAATCCAAAGCTTAAGTATATAGGCGCAAAGCTACGTCAGTGAATGAATGATACGTCCCAACCAAGTTTCGAAGCGAAGAAATGCGCAGGGATCAGAAAAACGATAGCTGAGGTAAAAGGATCGAAGGATGGAGCAGCTCAAGTCCGATAGCTGGATGAGCAAATATCGATTGGTTCAAGTGGGCCGTTCTACTTATTATACTAATAGCATGTTACATCAGTGGCTGATCCGTTAACGTCAAAAACTAAATCGGATAAAATCGTTCTCGCTGCAGCGATCGGACAACTTGTTTTGCAATGAAGCTTCCCATGTCAAATGATCGTTTGGGGCGTGGGCACGTGCCACCAATACGCAGAAAAAGGTTCACTTTGATATGGTAAACAGACGTCAACAACATGACGGATATGATGATGCGATGCAGCCAACCCATTTTTTATACCTTGTGGATCTCAGTGTTAGTCGAAAGTTTGTCTTGCATCACGTAGCTGGCCTGTCGCGGCTTTTTCCATCTGCTGGCCCATAATGACTTGCTTAGCAAGGAATAAAGAACCTGTAAGGGTACAGCTAATGGAAGACGCTACTTCAGCTACGAGTAGAACATTGACATAGATCGCTGTCTTAACCTCACCAAGTTTGCCATTCGCCATTTTGCAATTTGGAGCTTTCAATGCCTCGAAAACGAAGTGAGGGACCTCTTATCGCGATCCTATTAGAGGGAGACTTTCTACATATATACCTATACAAACAAATATTTAAAGGCTTTCATTACTCACACATTGGTAGATTAGTGACATTGTTGCTGAACGTCATAAAAGAAAAGAAAGAAGGAAATTAAATATTCAGCTACATGCGATCCACTTAAAGTCCGATAATTTACTCAACGTCACAAGCGGTAGCGTTGGTTCTAGGACAGCGGTAACTTAGCAATGGATCACGGGGCTGGCGCCCACCCAGGAGAGCTTGTTAGCGAGTCATCCATCATAGAGCTTCGCCTATGTCAGCCTGACTATGCCGTCCCAGACAGCCATTGCTGCAATCTAACAACAGCCTTGAATTAGCCTGGCATTTTCCTTTACGATAGAAGCAAACAGTCCTACTAGTTTTCACTGTCGAAGCGTTGCTTCGAGAGTGCTTAATCGGAAAACTTGCCAAAGAAAACCAGTTACGAAAATGGAATAAACAGTTGCGTTAGAACAGATCAGGTAGTGCCCCATTGCCCTAGACTCTAGTCGTTTTTGTTGGAGGCAAGAATTTCTAGTCCTTGTTAAGGCAAAACTACTCTTCTCGCAGTGGAAATAAAATGTGACCGCTCGCCCATTGAAGGTGCACAACCTTGTCCTTGTGGACCGTTTTCGCTAATACGTTGAGTAAATTTAAAGCAGTCCGGACGCACGATTCTCTGCTCGTGGGAAATAGATGTTCAGGATGAAAGCAAGCTTACTGGCTGAAAATTCAATGCATTATGAAACTGTAAAGAAGTAACACCTACGGATTGTGCCTTCAAAACTCGTGGAAGTCCACGACTAATGCTAGTGTGTATGTATGGATAGTATTTTTATATTTGAAATGGATTTGAGCTAAATATTAATACGAATATGTAACAGTGAGAACAGTATTGCAAAAGTAGACCGTCAACTAAAATAGACCTGTGAAAGGTCAAACAAAAATCCCATGCTTACACATACTAGTCATCATCCGCTCCTTACGCGATCCTCATTGTTTATAGTAATCAACTTATTGTTAGGGAAGTTCGCAACTTACTATACCTTGTTGCATTTACACTGTATATAAAATCTAGGACGTAGCAAAGCAGAATCAGACCTGTTGGACAACAAACGAAACCCTACTCTAGTCTCACCTGTAAGATGTGAATTGATGAACAACATAGACGTGCCGAAAAAGCTGAAGGAGGAGCAGACCGCGCCCTTTGTTTTGAGAGCGGTACCGGCTCGGGTCGGCTGCAGGACGTCGCGGGGCGCGCCACAGTACCAGATGAGATCGCGTTGAACAAACACGCTAAGGTGCAGTACGCCAAGATGACATGCGTGAAACAGAACGTGCGACGGGAGTAAAGCTTGCTGTAACCGAACTTCCCACTCACGCCTGTGATCAGCAGCCGCAGCAGATATTATAGGTACAAACAATGAATAACAGTGATAAAGGATGATAACAAGGTATTGGTAGATAAAGTCAATATACTTATCATACTTAGGTTCTTGTTTAGGTGTTTGTTGGACGAGTTCAATTTAGATCTGTAGTTGCATGGCTCTATTTGTGGGCACAGAGAAACATTAGTGATCATGTTGAATTTAGGTCGTCAGGAAAGCGTCCGGAATTGGTTGACCTGATGCTCGTTCGGGTTCTGAATAACACGTAGAGCCTGAGCCTTTTTGCCACCTACTTAGATAATCATTAGGAGATCCGCGCAAAAAATGTGTCAAATTTTCAGTTTGTATTGGTTAGGGTATCAGTGGGTCTCGAGTGCGGCTACTACGCACTTCACTATTGCACTCGATTAAAAAACTCACGCTACGTATCAAATTGTTACTGGCAATTCTGTACTCTAGTAGGAAAAGTCAAGCATCACGGGTTCACCCCGGAGGAAAAAGAAGTTTCCTCTACGTATTTGGTAAAGCTTGAAACGAGCGTTCCATTGTGAGCTCGTAGAGTCTCGTGAAACCGATGCTGCATAACGCTCTGGATGGCAATCAACAGTTCAGTGGAAGGAAAGGGCCGTTTAGGAGGCAAGGTAACTTTTCCGAGTTTCGTATTGCTCATTTAGGTAACGTTACTCGCTTATTTACATCTGTTGGCCGAAAGCCGATTTTTGAATGCTGGATAGGTCCAAAAATGTGGACTGGAACATTTTAAGCTCAGAAGCAGGAAATCCTGTTTTAACAGGCCCGTAAATCGTTCTACAAATAGAAAGAAAGTAAATCATAACGGTAATTATTTCGATGATTATTTACTGCTATCGTTGTTATTAATTATTTCGGGGTTTTACCATTGTTCTGTAATAATGATGGCTAAATATTAGTCAAAATGGCCGAACTTATTTTTACATCTAATATATGTAGCGTTTCAGGACGCGAAATCTTTTTCTGAGGAGGGTGGGTAATAAAATTTCAACATTTTACCTGACGCCATTTTAGAGTGGCAATTTTTCTCCGCTGAAAGTGGAAATTGGTACATTTCGCAAGTATGAGTTCAACAAATATATAATTGTCTAGCGAACATTATTTCAGTCGCGGAAAGCAAATACGAGAGGAAGTTGTATACAAACTAAAACTAGCTAACAAAAATATCGATGAGCTTTCCAGATCTAATAAGGATAAATAAGAAAATGTCACTAAATTAACAAGTCGGCGATGATGTCACCGATGCCATTTTGGACTATCTGACTTTGTTGAAAGCGCGGAATCTGCAATTTTCAGATCATCGTCTACGTATAGCAGACGCACTACGCCATATCGTTATTTCTATATCGTATATTTCGGTATGATACGTAACGCTGAACTTGTTAATTTAGTGCCATTTTCTTATTACTTTTATATACTTTAAATGCATGAAATGCATTATCTACCATTTGTGCACGTATAACAATAGGCTAGAAATGCGACTTTCGCTATTATACTGTGTGTAAATGCAAACGCAATAGTAGTAGTAAAAATACTCTACCTCTAATTTAATAAAGCTTTTACTCACACGCACAGCGTTGTACCTAGTAATAGCACAAACCTATCTACTCTGAATTGGTTTGCCCGCTCACAGGACATAGCTCTGTTTTGCTTACTCTGCTAGATAAATGATGACCCTACGACGCGTCTACCAGGCCAAGAATGTTTCGTAAACGGCCACTAGAGTGGGTTTTTTATGTGTTGGATCTGCTCTATTAACTGAGAGCCATCTCTCACTTATGTTAGTTGATCTTATTTGTGCTATTTATTTCAGAAGAGGCATCAAGAAGCGACAGTGCAGAACGAAACTATAGTGGGCCCCTTTGGGCGGTTATGGGTGACGATCGCTAGACTCGTGACACCCTATGCAGACAATATGTACATAGAGAGGGAATGAATGAAGATAACAACAGCTACACATTTATCATAGATAAGAGTCCAGATAGAAACGCTTGGTAACCCGTGCCTCAACGGCTTCAAGTATGCATATAGTGATGAGAATATTGACAAATTTCAAGCGCACTGTTCCTTATTGATTGTTGATCTCTATCGGAAACTATTGATTACGAGGAGACGCCAGGTGGAAAATTTGCTCTTCCGCTTTTTTTCTACCCAAATAACGATGGATCGAATTAAAAGGTTTTGGCTCTAGAGTTTTCACAATGCGACATCTTTTTGATACAATCGAGTTTTTTTAGTAGAATTTAGAAATAATAGTTTCAAATTGATAATAGTTTAGTAACTAACCGCTGTTAAGTACAAGCTATGTCTGGCGCCAAATAATATGATGCGACGAAAACGACTCGACCGAAGCTTGCGTCATCATTTCATAACCCCCGTTCGCCTGATGATTGTGCCAAATCGAAAAACGGTGTTAGCTCCTCGTAGGTACATCTAGGCTTCATTATAATTACAGGGGTCCGATTGGCTTTTTTGATCCAGTAACAAAGAGACTTTCCAGATTACAGGGTACATCGCCTAAGTACAGTGCTTCGATAGGGCATCAGGTTAGGTTAATGAGCTTGTTGTCATCAGCTTTTGTCGAGCGTATCTACCATCGGAGACTAAACCAGTAACAAGGTCTTCATCAACTATATTTCATTTATATGGCTGTTAATAATTATAGCTATACAAATAGAGCCATACGGTCGAATCCGAGCTGCGGTAGTAAGGCTCACGAGAGCGACACGATGTGGTACTCAAAGAGTAGGTCCTACAGACTCGCGACATTGTTGACGAGGCCACGACTATTCTAAAATCTACAACCTGTCTATCTTATTAGTTTAAAAAGACTCTCAGGTACCAGTCGCTGATACATGATTCTTGTCGGTCGATTTGTCCTTTGACTAATTTTCTGTTATTTCTCATTGCAACAAACGTGTCATATTATTAGCATACCTAGCTGAAATTAACTACTATTCAGTGAAAAAGGGGCATATATTCTTTGTAGGAGATTTGTTTTCGATTTATTAAAGTTAGTCTGCTAGTTCCGTTAGACAAATGCGACCTGCCTGGTAGGTTTTATCTTAGCTTCTATATTTGTGTATCTGAAACGGCTTAGTAACTACATGCCAACGTTCATTTTGAGTTCGTGCCACTTACTCAGATAAATGTATTGCTTATTGCAAATTTCAGCCGTCAGTAGGTCTAGTGTACAAGATTAGCGTCTTCGAAATGCGTTAGCAGGATCCTGATTGTCTCCTCTTCATGCTTACTGCCCGTGGAAAATATCCTTTAGAAGAACATATAATTCTCAGTATTGATGTTTTCCAAACGGATAAAGCTTTTTTCCAAAAATTTCGAAAAGGAATAGGCTTTGCAGCCCCATGCTTAACGGAATATATGCATCATTCGTAAACGTCAGTTAAAGAAAAACAACTATAATTGATTTAGCTCCTTTACGCCGCGAAAAACTATCAGTAGTAAGCAGGTCCATCCGTACCATCAAACAAAAAGACCATATATTGTGGCCGTTCATCGTAAAGCCCAAGAAGGAATACCTGTGACAATACAACACTCCTTTGTTACGTTCTGTGTCATTTGCAAAAACGTCCTGAGCTGTACACATTTATAATTACGAATTCGTTTATAGGCATTATCGTAATTAGATTAACAGGCTATGAAAAGGGCTTACGCATAGGAAACCTACTTGTCAGCAACGCCTTCCTGTACGCCGATGACATACATGTCAGCATTTTCTTCTGTTGTCGTGAGCAGAAGCTCACTGAGATTTTTCGGTCCCATCTGAAAAAAATGTTCACGTCACTAATGAATAACAATAGCAATGATCAAGTAATGGTAGATCAATTTATGTATCCGAGAAGGTTCGTGTTCCCTATCGAGCTCTGACCATTCTACGAGACGGTGCCGTGTCACTTGTGGTGTTCTTTGTTTGTTTAAAGAAATTAAATCGAATTAGCGTCAATACCCCCCTCAATAATATTTCAGGCCAGATGGGACCTAGCAGGAAGTGTAATGACATACCAGGTAATTGAATTGATATATATATATATATATATATATAACAGAGATTGCCGAGTATATGGAATTTGGGTTACGAATAATGTAGGCTGGTGAATGGACTACACATTTGTGTAGGTACTAATATAGCAATCGCCGTACGTGTACCGCCATTTGTACATCACTCTGTGTGGAGAGATTAGTTAATGACAATGAGGTTGGGTTCATGGTAAGCCTTAATGGCATATCAGCAGCAGATCGATACTTTATTTAGATTGAGGAAGCGTTTCGTGCCAACGTTTCTAACCATTTCGTGTCTACTATAGCAAGCGATACTTATTACCGAAACAATTTCATTTGACGACACTTTGCTGCTTCCTTAGATTAAACTTCGACCTCTTGTATCCACAGCCGGCTAATGTATTTCTAGTTTCGCTAAGCTTCTAACGTACGTTTACTTCCTATAGCTTCGAAAGTTCCCCGAGAGTCCGTTCAATGCTGACTTCCTGCCACAGGCGAGTTACTGCTATACCCGTACTAACAAACAGCCGTATTTTATATAGCCACCGCTAGCGTTGGTTCGGTTTGAAATAAACGTGTCTCTTTTACACAAAACATCTTCCCTCGAATCAGTGCGTGTCATCGGATGCTTAAAAAGTCTTAAAGTTTATCTGCTACGAAGACAGTTATATCGTGAGCACACAGTTACGAACAACTAACTTCTCGTGTAAAGCCGAAGTTAACTGAGTAGGCCGAACGAAAGAAAGAAATCCTAGTGAGAGTATTGAAAGCACTTTTATTTCTCAAAACAGAAGCAGCGTTCAACGGCGACATTATCCTATGTATCCAATAAAAAAAAAGTTATGGTTTAATTCTAGTTATCTGAGCCACTATAAAAAACCACGTGCCACGTTACGACGAGAGGGTTCTGCATAGCTAGCTGCACATTGCTAGTATTGAATAATATTACTTTATTCTTCAACACTGTTTACTTCTTTCAGGTCGGTAGGTAAGTAACACAAGACCTCATTTCTGACATAAATGGGCTGTTTTTTAATGAATTGTTCGTTTGCTTAAACGATCCTCACAGATTTCAGCCAACGTCTGGCGCAAAGGAAATATTTTTTTTCTTTTCAATGAAAAAACAGTCTATCTTTCAAATGACGCGTTATCTCCTAACAGTTATTTACAGCTATGTAAATAGTTTCTAAAAAAGTATCCCAATCGTTTATTATCAAAGATAAACTTTGCGCACCTCGTAACTTTATTAACCGCACGCTCCCGCATACAAACATATATATATATATATATATCTATATACAAACTCGTTTTCTTCGAACCCGTTAGACCTTTTTTATTAACGGATATTTGTGGATAGTATAGGGCCAAACAGTAAAGCACGATATATAAAACTAAAGATTAGGCGCATCTCACCTATTGGAGTTATATAATATACTCGAGGCTGATGCCGAAACAGCCAATTAACAGCAAGGTTATCGAAACATATATATATATATATATATATATATATATAATGAACTTCCTTGGTCGTCTTCCGTAGCTATGATACAATGGCCACTTTTATACATTCATGAATCAAACGCAATAAACATATAAGCATCATTTCAATTGTACAAGTAGAAAGACACTTTGAACTTACCGTGCTATTCTGGTTCCATGACGCGATAAAGATTCGCAGCTTCCGATCTGGAAATACCCTGAGAAGCTCATCTTCGTTTATCAGAGGTGAACTGCCTAACGCCGGAGCAGATGAACCCCTCGACGACGTGGCTCGACTGGAGCTCGAAGCTCCCTGGCCTCGGTCCCTTTGAAATAGATGAAACTTCAGCCTGCGACCTGATGGAACAGCTGAGCCTACCGTTGAACTATTGGCTTCTGGCCCAATGGCCCTAGTCCCGCCAAATCTTGACCCGTGTGCGATGTGAGAACTGATATGTTCAATTTCTCTTATCTCCGTCGTCCTAGAGATACATATACTTAAATGGCAGTAAATATTGCCACGTTATCAGCGTACGTGGTGATGTACGGTACATCAACCGCAGCGAACTGATAGGAGCGAAAGGCTTCATTTCTATAAATTATAGCTGTCGTAATGAGCAACAACGACACGGTAATCATCATTTACATGAGCTGTAGAATAATAATAAATAACAACATGGGGGCAAACGACAACATACTTTTATTAATTCTCCAACATTATGGCCTAAACCCGTTTGTATCCTCCTAGTCGAACTGAAAAGTCTGTTTATTTCTGACGACGCTTCCTTGAGGATATCCTCGCAAAAGGATTTCAGCGCAGTTTGATGTTTATATATAACTGGTAGTAAACAAATGTTTGGCCAGAACAAGTACAGGCCAAGCGATAGGTGGTAGACTGAGTGACTGGGAAAGAAGCAGGTCTGATGGCGGCATCGAATCGAATCAATGACTGATCGTTTTATCGAGGACGACTTTCAATGGCCACATGTGGCTTGTACAACAGCTCTTCCTGTTACACAAAATGCCCCAAAAGCAAGTAAGGAAAAAGCTCATAAAAGTAAGATATTTGAACTTAGTGGAAAGAGAACAGCACACACTTCAGTTACGAGAGACGTCCACGTCAGGACGGTCTAATTCATTGTCAACTAATAATAAAAGTTATTCTAGCAATCGAATTATGTACGGAACGGCAGTGGCGTAGAGTTGCCGATCCTATATCAGGAGTAGACAGATGGATTCGCAGATATAAGAGTTTACTAAGCAACTGATTGTTCGGATTAGGACTATCATTTGAGAGTGGAGTCAGGAGGAGTGCCGATACGCAACTATGACTCCTTTGGTACGCTAACTTACACAGCCTCCACTTCCCAAGGCGTGGGGGATGGATATAAGGCACTTTGTTTATCTTTATATAAATAAATACAACTTATATAAGATACAAAATAGTTTATGTCGGGATAGACTTACATAGATTTAATCGTCAATCTGGTTTGAAATCATTTAAAACATGAACAATTTCGATTGCTTAAACTTATGACTAGCAAAATGAAGATGCATTATGGAGAAAAACATTTGAACAAACTATAATTTTGACGTTTTATAAAACAGAATCTTCGTAAAAGTAAAAAGCAATATGGTAAGAGGATGAACACAGAATGAAAAACAATTAGAAATAAACTCATGTTTATTGGAAATAAAAGAAAAGTGTTAATAGTAGGAATCGGAGAAACCGCATTTAGCATTTTATGAAGAAGGTATCGTTGGAAACTGTTGAAAAGTCAATCGGAACGACCTTCCTGCTAGTGTCAAATACCTGAGCCTATAATGCCCCTGTAAGGTACCGCGCAGTGCCATAATATCCGCCAAGCTCTTTTGGCCCTGTGGAATAATTGCTTTTTGATGTTATTAGGTAGTTGTCATAACGATTCTACGTAGAATTAATGTGATGGCCTGCGTTTGTTCCTGACGCTAAACAGAGAACCACTTGTCAAATGATTTTATTGACAACTATGTCACTTCGTCGAAACAGGCAAGTAAAAACGCAAGAAACCCAACTGGTACGTATGAATATGCATAAAAAGAAGTATTTGCCCAAGTCCCAGGGCCTCTTGAAAACTATCCATTTCGGCTTATCGATACGGATCTGGCTCTGTAATAGACGAAAATCGCATGAAAATGCATGGGCAAAGGCACCACCATTGTTTTTTTCATACCAGCCTCGTGGTTGATGAAGTTTTCGTCGTTGTGCCGAGTGCGCAGTGACGCTGTGAAACACACTCATGTGCAATGCTTCGAAACAGCATAGCATCTCAGTCGAATTGGAAATCCGTTTCAAAATTTCGGTAAAAGTTAAGCATAATCGTTTCGCACGCACAGTCCCTTGTGCTAATTCCGAAAATTCAGAAGGATGATTCGGTTACATTGTACAGGTCTCGGATCTGTTCGGAAGTGTTCAGTGCAAGTGTTAGTCTTACTTACATGAAGTAGTTTTCCTATTTGGTATGACCAGTTTGGTAGATCAGGAAGCAAGAATGTTTCTTTTTCATAGTTGTACAGCAAATGACTCTGACCCATTACAGGTCCCTTGTCTCAAAAAATTCTCAAAATGTTAATCAACATTATTGATCAATATATATTGTAAATAATATGACTTTATCTAGTAGGATTGAAAGAAAAGGTTATATCTTCTGACTAGATTTGGTCATAACAGCTACCATGTCAAATATTTACCTGCTTCACACACGTTTCATGTATTTTTTTACGTTACGTAATCGTCCGATGTTCCTCAAAGAGTTCCTCTATGCCGCAATAGTAGTAGGCCGTTAACAAAGGTAAACGTTTCCACGACGGTCATGATGTTATCTAATAATAACATTCTTACAGCAAAAATTATAGCTGATATCCGCTGTTGCATACACCCCTTAATAATAATGTCCTTTCCAGTGCGTCCTAGGTCTGTTCACAAACATAATAATCTACCTATGCAGGACCTAACGTCATTAGTTAAGTCGTGCCCATTAGTTTCATGCATAAAGGCTTTGTACGCTGCAACAGCAAGAGAAAGCTGAACAAATCGGGCATATGCTTAGGTGTACACGGGCACACGAACCAGCCAAAGTCGTGTCGCTCATCGGCAGATAGAAATTGTTACGTTTTATAATCATTCAAATACATGGTATTACCAAGAAATCTGTTTCTTGTAGCCGAAATACTTACATGCTTACGTGCCGCACTTCGTTCAGTACTACATTATGTTCTGCCGTGGAAATTTGGAAGTTTCAGGGTCTTCAACCATTTGATAACACAAACGCTGTTCCGGTTTACCTAGCTATTACGCTAGAAGTTTTCGAAGCAGATTCCGACGCTGCATTGGCACGTCCTTAATTACGTGGCTGTTGCAGTCCTTTTTCATATTGTTTTTTATATGCCGCTAATGGTTTTCTGAAAGTCCTAGCGACATATACTGAAACCTTCACAAAGCAAATCCATTTGCTGTTGCTCGAACCTTTTATTATTATATACTTGCTAGCACTAGATAACGTTAGTCACCGAGCTAGTACGGTGAACGAAATTTTTGCCACTATTCAACAGCATTGCAGGCCGAGGCTTATATCGTTTCGTCCGCCACGTCCGAAGAGTTCATAGACGGTTTAATAAAGAGGCGCAGATGTTTTGGCGGTAACTGATTCAATTCTTTAACTGAGCGAAGCTGGCCCGTTACCACTCCATAGCCGGTATCGTTGTCAGCGTCATCGGCATTGATGCCTCTACTATGTCACTCACATAGTGTTGTATGGTCAGCGTCATTGAGTGTACGGGTTGACCGGGCGAGTGTGGCTTTGTTGTGTATACATCGCGTTGCCGTGGTGGAGCAGCAAGGCGAGCTGTCTGGGGCTCGCTTGGGGGAGAGGCCGGAGCAAGCAGTTAGGCAACTGGGGTTAGCCGAGCGGGCCAGGAAACATATGTCTGAAGAGGAACCTACACACATTGAATGTATGCCTTTATGATTGTAGACTGGATCGATGAAAGCTCAGAGGCGACCAGCTAGGCAGGCAAGGTTCGAACTTAGCCGCGCGCTAACTTTTCAGGATTAAAAGAAAACAGCAGAAACATTAGTATTCTGCTGCCGCTATCGCGCCAATGGCAGTGGCATAGAAATCACATGTGATATTTCCAGTGATCTTAGCAACAGCCCAAAAGTTAGACATACAACGGCAGTTAGAGTTGATTTTTCTTTGTATAGGGCATACGTAGATAGATGAAGGTGCCGGTGGCTGGACAATGATCGGCAATTGAGTACCATCGTACGTCTTACGACATTCCCCGAAAACTCGCGTTCGGTTGTAGTGCCTTCGCTTCACCAAAAAATAGCAGATAGTCTCATCGAGGTGGACGGTCCTCGTGTTTCTTACTGACGTCGCTAATTACCTAGCATTAATTGATCGTCTTCTACGCAGAAACAGACTAAAATAAAATGGCTATTTTTAGATTACGGTAGCTTTTTTATTGACTCAAATTTAGTAGTATCCATGTGTACGTAAGACACAATTTGCAAAAAATTTATACATGAATACTTTCGACGACAAATACGATGTGGCACTCTGTTAACCGAAAGATATTCAAATTTTATGAGAGTTATAGGTAGACGAGCTTAAAAACCTGTTGTTTATTATGGTCTGATTGGCATCGCCATAGAGAGTAACAGTAAGAAACAGATCTCTAGCCTTGAATCAGAAGTTTAGTCACAAGATAAACACCCTTAAGGTAGCCCCGTTGGTTGATCACTTAGATCCGGTGTTGTATATGCCGATGGATAGTTAAAAAAGCAAATGTGGACAAAGATAGATATGACAAAGTATTTTTTGTTGCAACTGTGGTGAACACTGAAGGCTCGGCCCAGCATTATAATTAGCCGTCTATTATTGTCGAAAGTTTCGCCATCTAAACCTCACGTACGTACACGTGCTAGCAACACGTGACAAAACATTACGTGATTCACGTCAACCGGGCCAGAAGAAAATGGCTTTCCCTACATAAGAAGAAGTTCTGGAATGACCTGCAACTAGAATTCGTTTTCTTAAGCCGTCCATCCTGGCGCGTATCTATCTACCAACCGTCTGTATCTATCAGAGATTTTTCTGATTCTATCAGAGATGTCAGACCAACATGATTGTCTCTGACCCGCAGAGATGCGTATCTTTGTCCGAGTCATTTCGACCCTCCTCCTTACCGCTGATCTATCCGAGTAGCCAATGGAAAACGAAGGCTTTTCAATTTGTGTTCTCCAACAAAGCTGCCATGTTTTAATTGCCGAACTGTGCACACAGAACAGGCTATCAACTATAGGCATAAACGACGTTAGATTTTCAATCTCCACCTCAGAGGTTCAACCAAGCATTAAAAAATAGAAACTACGGTAGCTAGTTAATTAATACATTGAGATTAATTGATACATAAGATTGAAACCTACGCGAATTGCTCCATCAGACGTGGTTTGAAGCAGTTTTTTATTTTTATTTTCCTGGTTCGAACAAGATGAAGACAGTAAATAAAGAGCACTCCAATTGTGCGCAGCTTTTTATAATCAACAAACGAGACGTTGAAAAAATTGCCAGAAGGATAGCTACAAACATAAGGGTATGACGTTCCTCAGTCACGATTCTGGCGGCGTATGTAGCAAAGCTATCTTCTTCCATTTGTATACGGTCTGTAGATAGGTGATATTCATTTTGTCCTGTCAAGAACACTATGCATATATAGCTATATTTGGTCAGTTACGTGCATATATCACACACACGTCAACTAGACGGTGCTATGCTTAGTACTGCTTTGGGAGAAAAAGTCGCAAGTGTTAAGGGCAAAAAAAAAAGTGGACTCCATGTGATATTAATGGGTATTTATCGAAGCAGTGGTTCAATTGAATAATTGTAAGGAAATAAGCAGTACTTGGGAGCCATGTTGTTCTAATTCAAAGAAAATCAGCAACTCTATGTGGCTGAAAAACACATCTCTGCTTGTTATATGGGTCCAAGAAGTAAACGCGTTTTTTGCTTAACTATTTTTCTAGGTACAAGTTGAACAGTCAAGACGAAAATGATAAGCACGTTGACCTATAGAAAATTCTGAGTAATGCTAAAAACGTTTCCACGTTTTTAGCATTACTCAGGTTGACGCAAAACGTTCGTATTACAAGAATCCCTAAGAATAATGGTATTATAATTACTGGGATGAAAACATTTACGAATCGTATTACGAATTAAATAGGTAATTTTTGACCAGTGTCTATCGATTGTGCGTAAGACAAATGAAGATTGCACATATATGGGCTCGGATAATTTCGAATACGACAAAACGGTTTCCAATCAGTTCTAGTTGACTGAACTATACCCCCAGCTATGAGGATCCCGTCGCGCCAAAAATTCAGGTTCATGTTCTTGTTTACCAGTCAGAAAGCTATCCTAAAGGCTTGAATCGACGACACTGTTGGTGGCGACATGTATGTTCAGCGTGTGATACTATAGTAGCCCCGATTTATGCTACAAAGCGTCACATGGCGAAGAGTCCAGGCGTTTCTTCACTCTTGTAGAGCTTATTATATGCTTTGCCAGCGGTAAATGTATGCGTCTACCAAACCAGTTTTATGAACAATATTTGCTTCTATCCATACTACGATAGACACGGCGTATCTAGAAACACGATTGATGATGGAGCGGTAATGGCTAGGAACCCCCTTTGAACTATTATATATAAAGTGGATGAAAAGTGAGAAGCTATTGTTATATACATTGTTGCCTTCCTTTTTTTCTTACGTTTCTTGAACGACTTAGTTGGCCACAAGCTGTTAGCATCAACATTAGTGCTCAGTCGGCCTGTGATCATAATAAAAAGGTAAGCATAATAAGGTAATCATAATAATAAGGTAAAAGCAAATAGGCTCTACCGGTACTAATACCTACCGGTACTCTTATTGTTCATTCATCGTCATGACTTAAAATCGGCGTTCTCCTTCAAACACAAGCGTGCTAACTTACATACTGTAGTAGATAATTAGCGTAGTCCTAAATACGTGTTGATGTACCTGCAAATCAGACCAATTTATACGATTATCGGCAATGGATAAAATACGTGAAGGCCGTAGTCAGATAGATGAAGTTCGATCTGCTATGAATGACATGCCGCAGTTATCTCATGCTACAGTACTTCACTTATAGTCAAAAACGAGCTAATGAAGTTTTGTAATAGCGTACAGGTGTTTTTATCGCAGATTTATGTCGACAGGAAGTAACTTCGGTGCCAGGACGGGATATTCTAGGTTTCTAAATAGGTAATGCAAGCTACCGGAATTTGATTGACTACTTCGCAAAACGGGTGTATATTTGCAGCTAGACAGACACTTAATAATTAAGTGCAGCGGAGCGTTCAGGTCGATGTAACGTAGTTGATAGACGTCGTACATGCCGCATGCTAGTAGATAGAAGTTAAATAGCTGGAATATGGCCAACTTCCAGTGTAGGCACGACGTTTCTCACGTTGAATCAGCTTGTCACCTAGACAATTGATTTCAAATGGCAAATTCCCACACCAGTGCTTACTTGGGGGTACATGAAAGCACAGACTAAATCATGAGCTGTACACCAATACCCGTATCAGATGTAATTAAAGCTGATGCAACATCAGACCTAAGGATGACACTAATAAAGCCAATCAGGACCAAAACAGCAGCTGAAGGCAACACCATCTCAGATGTAAGCGTTCATCATTTAGCAGGCAGCGATTCTTAAAATTCAGAAGTATATCAATAAGTTCAGGAAATGGTAACAGCTCTTCGAAAATGCCTTACGTTTATTTGAGACGTCTTTGTACCGTTCAGGTTTGCCTATAGTACGAAATGTCGGTAGAAACACTGAAGAAACATGTCATTAAGTGCTGCTACGTAGCAGAAGATCGAAGAGTTCTTCGTCGGCAACCTTAACGACTTAAGTGTTTCATTTGTAACTTTGAGTAAAAGAGAACATCTGGCGGGGACAGTAAAAAAAAGGTAGAATCTTACACTAAATGTCAGCTATTTATGACATCAACTTAATTTGAGAAAATATACGAGGACGGTGATGATGTTAAGGAGAAAAAAATCAATCGGCAACGAAACGGTAAGCGGGTGCAAAGAAGTAGCACAAAAACACACTAAGCAATATTCAGAAGTAATAATATGATAACACGTATTTTATATTTATAATTAAGTTTGCCAATAAATGTATCTGTTATAATGAACAAAAATCAGGATTGTGATGTTGTAATTAGGCTAGTTCATCCAAGTAGTATTAAAATACAAAACAAATACAGGATAAACGAAAATAAGAGCCTGTCGTCGATAAAAGCGGTGCAGGAAAACATTTTGTTATTGATGTGTTCTAGGGCAGAAACTAATAAGATTACCTGAATGTCCATTCAGCGTCTGAGCAAACTGTCACAGCTTGGCTTAGCCTTGACAATGGCAAATGTTTATGTGGAGCCACTGAGCCCAGTGTTACTAGCTTCGTAATTTTTAAAAAATTTCTACTTTTTTGCAGCTCCATTGATGCTGGTGCAAATTGTGTACGAAATTACAAGCATTTCCATTCCGTTTGAATCAAACACCTGGGATTTTCTCTAGTAGCTAAGCGCAACGATTTGATCGAGGTTACCTAAGTCGGGTGTTTATCCTCCGGTTTATGTTGATTTATGAATAGTTTTTTTTTTCTTT